ATGTAGTTTTAAAAGCTACACAGTGTTTCTGATGGACATGCAGTATTGAGAACTACTGGCTTTCAAAATAAAGTTCAAAGTTCCATGCATAGCTTTTAAGGCTGTTCACAATCTGGCTCCAGTCTACCTTTCCAATTTCTTATCTTACTGTTCCCCTCTCTGTGCATACCAGCCAAATTCTCTTGACTGTTCTCTGAAAAACTGCTTTCTAAAGGATTACATGTTGCCAGAAAAGTCCAGAAGAATTAGGATGTTATCCACAGTTAATAGCTTAGAAGGTAAGCTGTAGAGAGACATAGTGGTCAGGCTGAGAAAACACCATTACTGGTATTTTGTATACTTTAAATATATTTTTTGATTGAATTGCTGCATACTCATTCTACCCCAAATAAACATTCTTATTTAGCTTTCGGTTTTGATGATGAAATTTCAATTATACTTTCCACACATCAAGTAAAAAGGCCCAAATTGAACAACGTTAAAACCAACCAAACAAACAAAAATTTGCCCAAACCAGTTCAATTCGTTTTCTAGGGTCCCTATTACCGCATAAGCCCACTTCTTTTCCACCCCTCACATATTAGCAACGACTACCTGCTTGGAGTGAAAAACGTGGGAAAGAGCAAAGAGGAACTCTAAAACCGACGGGGCGGGGTGGGGGGAGTGGCCACTGGCTACAAAAACCGGGGATGGGGAGCTACCTGGCTTTTGAGGTTAGACCCATGAGCCCAGGAACTGGTGAGAAACAGGAACGGACGCACTCACTCGTATTTGTCTCTGGGAAGGAAATCTGGCGCGGAGGTCCCTCAGCCTTCTTCTCTACGCCTCCACAGGAAGGATTCCTGGTACTGAGCAAAGACGCCTCCACAAGTTGGCAGAACTGGCAGCGTCTGCATCTGCCCGAGCATCAGTGGCTGAGCAGGCGCCTGGGCAGGCGACGTTCCCTTGGCAACGGGAGCTTCTTCCGGTCCCGAAGCCACGCCTCCCTGGGCGGTCTTACCGGGTCAGCCCCTGTGTTCTAGCTTCTGGGAGCGAAGAGCTCCAGAAAAAGGCCAGAGACACGCCGATGAACCATATATTAAAGAAGGTGTCAGCACAGGTGGCCGGGGAGCTGCCGATTTTCTTCAAGGAGCCTTGCAGTCCGGTGAAGCATGATGGGAGTTGTAGGAGCTCGCACAGCCTCCTGGGAAGCGTTTGGCGTCGCTTGTGCTGCTTGCGTGCGATTCGCTGCTGGTCCTCCACGACACTCCTACGGGTCCCGAGGGCTCCGCTTGGTCTGGCGCCTAGAGCGTTGTTCCCGGGCACCGGCGCAGCGAGGTGGCAATGACTGCAAGACGCAGCTACCCCGAGTGGGGCAAAATGTGCACGGGAGTTGCCCCGCTGCCCATGGCACCGACTCTCCTTCGGGTTCTGATAGGCCTCCGACCCTGAGTCCTGGAGAAGTAAAGCAATTAATCTAGGAAGGGAGAAGAGAGAAACTGGTGAAAAGAGTCAAAGGCATTATTCAGCAAAGGAAGTTTTCCTGTAACCCTGCTTCTTAGCTGAAGAGATTTCCAGCAGGCATAATCTCCTGTGAGTAGATTACAGTCTCCAGAATCCAATCGGCAGGTGGTCAGGAAAGGCATTAATGGTATTTAAAGTTAGCCACCTTCTTAAATTGCACTTGGATTTTATAGTCATAGTCACAAATGATCCTCAAGTTGAAACTATTTAAACAAAGAGGGTTCTCCACATTTTTATTACTACGTTTTCCCACGGGCAGACTATAGATACAGTCGTTTTAAAGATCTGGAAATCTTTTGTTAACCTTTTAATCTGCCTTGCTCCACCGGTCTCCTCCATTGATGAATGGCTTTCATAACTTAAGCGTTCCTTAAAGAGGAATTTTCTTCTCTTAATTTCCCTTGTTATACATGGGTACAGGATTTTTTAAAAAAAATTTCCAACTAGCTAGTGTTATGTTTACTACCCTAACTGTACTTTGGCCTGTCAGTTAATTTGACCTATTAAATGGACTAGCAGGGTGAAAAAAGAGACTC